GGTGACCTCCCTTGTCCTCTGTGTGGAGACCTGAGCGGGTGAGACGGTGAAGGACCCCAGGAACGTGGGCAGGGCTGCTGCCAAGTAAGCAGAAGGAAAGAGCCTGAAGCAGAAGTGTGCTCAGTGGATTCGCAGCCACACGAGGAAACCAGCGCAGTGAGGCAGAGCTGACAGGACCCCACCATAAGATGAGGCCGCCTGAACGGAAGCCAGTCACAGAGCCTGTGGGCTGCTGAAAAGATGCTTTTACCCTGAGACAATATTGCAGAGACAATAGAGGACCCTGCCTGGCCAATGAGCGTGGTACCCCCTTGTGTGGTACCTCCTCAGATCTTCAAAAGGTCCTGGGTGTCAAGTGACCTACAAAGGAGCATGTGCAGAAACCCCAAAGACTGGATGACAGTTGAGTGCAATAGAGCAGGTGAGAGGAAATGGAGGCTAGGATTAAGGGGTGCCAAAGAAAATAGGAAGAAATGGTCAATTCAGCATCTACATGGAAGAAAGAACTGATAGCACTGACTGCTGGACTAGTGGGCAGCTGAGAGGGAAGGAGAGGTGCCAACGAAAGCCTGACTGACTGGAATGGGAAGGGAAAGATCTCAGAGGCAAGGATGGTGAAGCTTCGTCTCACATACTTTGGACGCGTCATTAGGAGGGGCTATTCCTTCCAAAGACACAGCGTGCTTAGAAAGCTGGAGGGTCAGTGAAAGAGAGGAGGCCCCTCAATGAGACAGACTGACACGGTGACTGCAGCAATGGGCTCAAGTGTGTTGGAGAGGATAAGGATGGTGCAGGATAAGACAGGTTCAGACCTTTGTTCATGGGGTCACTGGGCTATACTCGATTCACTGCACCCAACAGCAACAGCAACAAGGGGATAAAGGGATGTGAGAGCAACAACAGGAGCTGTTTGACCACTGTACGTTCGGTCATCTAAATGGTGATGCCAAGTCGGCGGGAGAGCATGACCTGGGGTGGACAGGCTGGGTTTGAGTGGAGTCGAGTGCAGCTAGTGACGATGTGAACCCTATCCCATCTGCAGCCATCCTTATCATCTCTGATACGCGGAGACATTTGGAACTGGCCAGACCAGGGACAGTCAAGGTGATTAGAATGTTGAGATGACAGAGATATGAGGGACACCATGCTGAGAAGTCAGAGATAAGAGAAGAAACCAACCAAGGAGGCTCACGAGAAAGGAGGAGCGAGTGGGATCCCAGAGATTAGGGGATGTTAAAGGGGGAGTCAGGGGTCACCTGCCCAATGCTGCTGGCGGGCAAGGGAGATGAGGACTGAGCCAGGAGGAGGTCTCCGGTCACTGGGAGGAGTCGCTCTACAAGGAGGGATGGACACAACCTGAACAGAGTTTCTACTTGGTTTTGTTTGGCTTTTGACAACGAGAGAGAAGGGGGTGCTTTAGATGAGTGGGCAGTTTAGAGATGAGTGACCTTTACAGACTTGCCCGAGCGTCTGAATACAGCCTTTCATACACATTACGCTTCAATATGTTGTTTGTTGTTGTGTTCCATCAAGTCGGAACCGACCCATAGCTGACCCTCCAGTGGGTTTTCAGAGGCAGTTAATCGCACAGGAAGAGCTTGCCCGTGATCTCAACATAAAGGAGACAAAATCCCACTACTGGACCAATAAGCAACATCATGATAAAAGGAGAAACATTTGAAGTTGTGAAGGATTTCATTTCACCTGAATCCAGAATCAATGTTTATGGAAGCAGAAGCATTCATGAAGTTGTGGGGTGTTGTGTGTTTTTTTGTTTGTTTGTTTTTTGTTTTTTTGCATTGGGCAAAAGGCCTCTTTAAAGTGTTCAAAAGGAGAGATGTCACCGTGTGGTCTAAGGTGCACTCAAACCATGGTATTTTCAATCACCTCAATATACAGGCGAAAGCTGGGCCAAAGAAGGAAGAGCACAGACCACCTTTGAATTATGTGACAGTTACGAATATCAAACTGTCGGAAGAATGAATGCAGGGACTTCTGGTGGCTTAGTAGTAGGGAACTGCACTGCCAATGCAGAGGTCTGCAGTTCAAATCCACAAGTTGGTCTGTGATTACCGTGACTTACTGCCTCTGAAAACCTGCTAGGGGGTCAGCTATGGGTCAATATCAAGTCACGAGTACACAATAACAACAGCAGAAGGATGAATAAATCTGTCTTGGAAGAAGTACAGTCAGAACACTCCTTAGAAGCAAATACTTCAAAACAATTAAGAAGTATCAAGTCACCCCAGCAACAATAGCAAAGTTCAACAGGGCAGTAAACAAGAAAAATGCTCGCAAGGTTGTGGAGAGACTGGAACTCTTATTCACTGCTGGTGGGAATATAAAATGGTACAACCACCATGGAAGGCAATCTGGTGCTTTCTCAAAAAGTTGGAAATAGAAGTGCCATTTGACCTAGCTAGGCCACTGCTGGGAATACACTCTAAAAAAACCAGAGCTGCTATGCAAACAGAAGTATGCACACCCATGTTTACGGCTGCGGTATTCACAACAGCAAAGAGATGGAAGCAACCCAAGTGCCCATCACAAACAAATAGGTTGAAAAACTATAGTACATCCACACCATGGAATACTATGCAGCCCTGAAAAACAATAGACTCATAAAATATTGCATAGCATAGGGGAGCCTGGAGGACATTATGCTGAGTGAAATTTCTGAATCACATAAGAACAAATACTGCATAACACTACTGTCATAAAATAGGATAGATGGGGTGGGAGCTGGGGTGTTGGGGAGAGAATGGGAAAGAGTGGATTAGATACAGATGAGGGAATGAACTGTCTGGAAGGAATATATGATTAGGTATTATATGTTTAACAATCTAGAACAAGGCATACATTTTGTGATAGGATAATGTGCAACAATGAATTAAAAAAAAAAAAAGGCAGCATGGACGTTGGACATGTCCCATCCCCAAGAGAAAGTCCCTGGAGAAAGACATCATGTTTGGTAGGGGATCAGAGAGAAACAACACGATGACTGTGGCAATGGGCTCTGACACAGCACTGACAGGGAGGACAGTACATGACCAGTCGCTGTTGTGTCTTGTTGTACTTATGGTCCCTAAGGGTTGGAACCAACCCAACAGCACCTAGCAATGACAGACCATCACTTGTCTGTCACTCTGTCATACTGTGGTGGCTTGCATGCTACAGCCTGTGCCACTGTTATTTCAACTACCAGCAGTGTCACCCGTGGTGGACGTATTTCAGCAGAAATTCTAGATTGACAGTCAAGGAAGGCACAATTGGCGGGCCCACTTGTGAAATAACTGACCAGTGGAAACTACAAATAGTTTATAACAATGTCTAGAGATGAACCCCTCAGGTTGTCACTGTCTGCCTTCGAGCAGGAACCATCCCGTAACTGACCCTCCAACGGGTTTTCAGAGGCTGTAAACTGTACAGGAGAAGACTGTCCATCCTTCTCTCACAGAGCAGCTGGTGGATCTGAACCGCATGATTTTGAGATTGCAGCACTTCTGACCACTAGGCCAGCAGAGCCTAGTTGGTAGGCGCTTACTATCTGCATGCTTGGTGGAGATCTTCGTCAGGTAAAAAGCAGCTGCTTCTCACAGAGATGGACTGACGGTGGCTGGAACTACGAGTTCAAGCACCACAGTGCGTATGAGGATGGCACAGAACCTGGCAGCATCTCACCGCTTTACTCAGGGCCGCTGTTTCATACAGAGGCACCTCACAGCCACAGCAACAGCGAGAAAAGCAGGAAGCAGGGCTGACAGAGAGAGCAGCGGGCGGCAGGGCAATCGTGGGGCCTATCTTTTTTTTTCCACTGTGGCCTCAGTGAAAATTTATAGGACAAATCCATTTTCCACTCAACTACTCAGATATATTTTGATTTGTGACATTAACTACAATACCCACATTGTAACTACAGTCGCTCCTCCTGTATACCTGTATCTTCCTTTTCTCTAGTGATATCACACTGGGGGCAGGGGAGGGGAGGGGACAGGAGTTAGTGGTTTGAGGGCCGAGAAGGAATGGACTGGTCACTGGAAAGAGTATGTAAATGGACTCCAGGCCCCTTGAGGTGGTGAATTGAAAGGGAGATGAGGCAGCAGGCTGTAGCCCCCATCACCCCAACCCCTGCCAGTGCAACACAGGCCAAGAAGGCACAGACTTGGTCTCCTAAGGGCTATCAATTTGCTATGTGTGTGGCCAAGGCCGAGGATTTCATGATGCAGCAGAGAACTGATTGCTGTGCCAGACCACCATTTGGCGATAAGAATTCTGGACAGCTGGGCCTTTAAAGACAAACAAGAAGCTGAAGCTGAGGGAGCTCTGGTGGCCTAGTGACAAGAAGCTGTACTGCAATCCCAAAGGCACACATGGTTCGAATCCACCAGATGCTCCGCTGGATAAGGAGGGGCAATCTCCTCCTATGCCAGTCGGATCTGATTTGATGGTACACAACAAGGAAAAAAAAAGCAGCTGCAGCTGGGGATTTGACTCAGTGGTTGGTTCCCACTCTCCCAGCAGGGATGATGAGAAGGTGGGAGTTTCCAGCCTACCACCCCTCGATGTGGAGGCACATGTGGTGAGGAGGAAGAGGGGAGGTGGATGCTAGAAATGGGCAGTTCCTCGCTGTCCTGAGATCTAGGACGCACCAGTCGTCGGGGAGGGGTCCTCTGGCCGGAGTGGACCAGCAGTGAGCACCGGTCCATCAGATCTTATCCCTTGCATCCTCAGAGTAGCATGTTCCAGTCGCTTCTCCCCACGTAAGCTGCTCACTGAGCCTGACGTAAATGCTACTGACCCGTTTGCTGGCTGGGATGATAAGGATTTCTACCCACCCAGCCACAGTCAAAGAGCCCACTGGGCTGGTGGAAGACAGCCAGGGTGACATCCACGATGGGCCCAACCCCAGCTTCACAGCATCAAATCCTTGAGTGGATGCACCTTCCTGCTCCCACCGCACAGGACACCCCAGGATCCCACCCGGAACCCTAGGCACCTACCTAAAAGGGCAGCTGCCTGGCTCCGCCCTCCGAAGCTGCGGCTGAAGGAGCTGTGTCTGCTCGCGTAGGAGGCCGGCCGGCTGGGCAGCCAGGGCAGGAGGAAGGCGGGGATCTCTGAGTGCAAACGTTCCTCGGCCACAAAGGCCACCTCGAACCACTTGCGCTGGAAGCTGGTGAACTCGTCCTTGGCGGTCGTGTGCCAGGTGGCGGGCTGCTGCATGGTCACTGGGAGAGGAGGGGGGAAAGCGGGGCAAGCTGCCTCAGCTTACACACTCACAATCCCATCTGAGAGCTCAGGAGAGGTGACAGCAAATGCACCAGGTGACCCTCTTCTGAGAGGTCACCGACACCTCATCCCATTTCTCATTTCTTGAGCACAGAGTAGGAAGAAGCCTTTTTAACAGGACAGGAGCTCTGGGCCCTGGGTGCACTGAGGATGCTGGTTCGAGGCTTGGCACCTCCATGGATTCACAAGCCTGCTCTGAGGAGGCTGCCACAGCCAGCCTGCCTTCCAGAGGGAAGAGGTGCAGCCAGGGCGCTCCTCAGAGGTAACCATGGGGAAATTTTTGTCTCACAAACTCTGGACCCTGCTATTGGGATGGGCCACGCTTTAGAAAAGGACATCCTTCTTGGCAAGGCAGTGCCAGTGAAAAAGAGGAGGACCCTCAAGGAACTGGACTGACGAGTGGGCTTAAGGACAGCAATGACGGTGAGGGCGGCACACGGTCGGACAGGTTTCGATCTGTTGAACACAAGATCACTCTGAGTCGGATTTGACTCTACAGCATCCAACAGCAAAAAAGAGACCCAGCAAGCAAAAAACACTAACGTCCCAGACCAGAGCCGGGGTCTGTCGTCACCAGAACCACCAGTGCTTGGAGTGGGATGAGGGAGGACATAAAAACAGCTACCGAAGAATTGACCCTGGAGAATTTCCCTCACTCCAGGCACCTCAGCTTCATTTAGATTTCTCATCCACCCACACTGAACATACTGGAGCCTACAAACCCTGTCACTCTGGCTATGCTTAAGTAGTTTTTTTAAAGGCTCAAAGAAGTTGACAGATGCATCAATACAAAGGCATGCATGGAGCTTGAGAAGTGTGTTCCTTTGAGGAGAAAAGTCATCAGGGAAAACACTAGCCCATCACCAACCTCGGTCCGGCTCTTTGTCTGTTACGATCTTGTAGAAATAGAAGCCATAGATGAAGGTCCGCAAAGCTTCTCCAGATGCGTGTGTGATGAGCTGCTCTTCCAACATTTTCTAAGAGCAAAGACATTGACACTGAAATCTCAGCAGAGGGGAATCTTAAAGCTGCAGCCCTCAGTTATGCGCTGGAACCTCCCCTGGCCCCACAGAGACAAGACCCCTGCACTACGCTAACTGCTGTGCTTGGGGGTCTTGAGTGAACAGGAGCTGACCAGGAGCTTGAGGCTGTGTCATGGCTTGAATTATGGTCCCCAAAATACATGCATATGATATATAATGCGGAAGCTATGCAATGATCTCCTGTGATCGGCTAAACCAAACAGCTGTGGGGAGATTAAGGGTGGAATGCAACCCTCCCTAATCCCAATCCTAATAAGACAGAAGGGAAGTTCTGCTAGAGTGTACCCTCTAGAGACAAGAGAGGAGGAGACTGGACCAAGGGGTAGGGAACCAGTATCACCAAGAAATACTCGCCAGGATCTTTTTTGGACCCAGGCCCTGGTCCATGAAGCTCTTTGATCCTGGGAAGACCAGAATGCATTTGAGGTGGTGGTGGGGGGTGGTTAGTGGTGTCTCAAAGGAATACCAGGCCTTCAGATGCTTCCACCTGTGGTATCTCTGCTGTAGAAGCACTATATGTCATTGTCGTTGTTGATTACCATTGAGTCAGAACTGACAAACAGCAGATTTCTCCAGTGGGTTTTCAAGAGGCATTAAATCGCACAGGAGATTGTTTGTCTTTCTCCCATGGAGCAGCTGGCAGATTTGAACCAAGTGCTTTTGCGATGGCAGCTCAGCTCCTTACCGCTAGGCCACCAGAGTTCTTACATGTTGTTAAGAAAGGCTATTCCTTGGAAAGGGACATCATGCTTGGAAAGATGAAGGGTCAACAAAAGAGAGAAAGACTCTCAACAAGAAGGACTGGCAGTGACTGCAGCAGTGGGAAAGTGTGTCAGACGATGAGGACTGCACAGGTCAGGACAGGGTTCAGGTCTGTCGTTCTTAAGGTCACTATGAGTCATATTTAACTTAACAGCAACAATACAAAGAAGACACAGGGAGGGTGTTCCCCGGGAATCTTTCCTAGACCTTCGTCTGAGGTTCTAAAGTCCACAGATTCCCTCCAGAACATTTCCGATCTACCAGTTTTCAATCAACAAAGTGTCCCTCGAAGGTAGACCTGTTCTTGTGTGCATGTCCTCACACCCATCAACAGCAGATTCTCGCACACAACATGCTGCAGTGGGCAGGGCCACTGGTTCAGAAACTCCAAGAGCTCTGGGTGTGTGGTGCTGTGAGCAGACAGCGTGGCGGGGCTCATCCTTGAGTCTCACCTGCATGATGTCGACGGCCATCACCTGAGTCTGGACGCCCTCCACATTGTTCACCAGCCAGTGCACCACCTCGGCGCTGATAAAGCAGCTCGGCGAGAGGCCCTTCTGTTCAGAAAGCAGCTGGACGCCGGTCCTGAGTTCCAGGAGCACAGAGCAGGGTGCACATGCCCGTGATGGGGCCGAGGAGCATGAAAAGAAGAGAAAGAAGGACTCCTGCGAAAATGCTTGGCTTCTGAAGTGAGACCCATAAAATAACTCCTCTCCACTCGTCCTTGTTGTTATGTACTGTTGAGTCGGAACCGACCCACCACTGACCCACCCAGCAGGTCTTCAGAAGCAGTAAATCAATCACACAGGAGGAGAACGCTCCTTTTTCACTCGTGGAGAGAAAAAGGTCCAGAGAAATTGTCATAAGGAAACAGAGGTGTTACTGAGAGAAAAAAAGAGAAGGGACCAACATCTATAAATTACCCAATATTCGTTAGGGAGCTTTGGTGGTTTAGTGATAAGGAACTGGGCTGTCAAGCCAAAAGCATCTGGTTCGAATCCACAAGCTGCTCCAGAGGAGAAAGATAACCAATCTCCTTCCATGCAATTTACTGCTTCTGGAAACCTGCTGGAGGGTCAGCTATGAGTTGGTTCTGACTCGACAGTAAACAATGATAACACTGAATAAGGAGTTGTGTTGCCAATCTAAAGGCAGGAGGTTCAAATCTACTAGCTGCTTTGAAGGAGAAAGATGTGCAATGTCCTCCCTGGTGATTTACTGCCTCTGAAAACCTGCTTAGACTGTAGGCTCTGAGTCAGTTTCAACTCAAAAGGATGTAAAAACAACAATATTTGACAGTCATCATACTTTGTTGTTGCTGTTGTTATTGTTATGTGCCATCAAGTAGCCTGTGACTCATAGCAACACTATGTGCAAATGCTCTCAACCCTGCTCCATCCTGTGCCAGCCTTATTGTCTCTGACACACCTACCCCCAGTACCCCAGTCACTGAGTCAATCCATCTCACACAGGGTCTTCCTCTCTTGTGCTGTCCCTCCACCCTCCCAAGCGTCATCACTCCTTGAAACATGCCCAAAATATGTCAGATGAAGTTTCAGAATTCTTGCCTCCAATGAGCAGTCTGTTTTCACCCTCTCTAGGACGAATTTTTTTTGTTCTCCTAGCAGTCTACTGTATACCAGCAGCACAGCTCAAAGGCATCAATTCTCCTTCTATTATCCCTAATCACTGTCCAGCTTCCTGATGCACAGCAAGTAATTACAAAGGCCATGGCCTGGATCAGGTGCACCTAAGTCTCTAGAGTGACATCATACTTAGTTGTTGTTGTAAGGTGCCATTGAGTCGAACATGACTCACAGTGACCCTAGGAACAAAAGATCTCAACCCTGTTCTATCCTGTGCCATCCTCACACTTCCTGACACACAAGAGCCCATTGCAACAGTCATTCCACCTGATTAAGGGTCTTCCTCTCCTTCACTGACCCTACACCCTTCCCACCATCGTGTCTCTCTCCAAGAAACAGCCCCTCCTAGCAACATGCCCAAAATACGTAAGGTGAAGTCTCATCATTTTTGCCTTCAAAGAGAACTCCAGCTGTTCTTAGTAGTTTACTTAAATTTTTCATTTACTCGTTACATCAATCCTATGACAGCCACTATTAGACCATTTGACAAACATGGTAACATAGACTCAGAGAAGTCAACTTCCCCAGGCCTCCCAGCTGATAAGCAAGGAGGGGTGGCATATAGCTGTAGCCCTGCCAGGGCCTGGGCCCTTGGAGATCTGCCCGCTCCTGTGTCCTCACAATGTGATGCCCACTTACGAGGGGTGCTTCATGGCTTCCAAGATCTCCACGAGGGTAGAGGAGGATGTCAGGGTGCTAGTGGCCAGTTGCTGCAAGCTGAAACACAGAGCATCTGGTCAGCATACATGGGGGCAGAAATACAAACCTTGGGAACACACTCCATTTCTGAACAGATCATCCGGGAGGCTGGGCTCTGAGAAGAGGAATGTGGCATCAGGATTAGAGGAAGACTCATCAACAACCTGCATTATGCAGATGACACGACCCTGCTTGCGGAAACTGAGGAGGACCTGAAGTGCTTGCTGCAGTAGGTCAAAGTCTTAACTATGTATTGAAGCTCAACATCAAGAAAACAAAGATTCTCACCACAGGCAGCTTCATGATAGATGGTTAACAGAAACTGTTAACAACTTCCGTTTGCTTGGCTCCATAATCAACACTCTCGGTATGAGCAGCCAGGACAACAAAAGATTGTATTGGGAAAGTCTGCTGTCAGGGAACTCTCCAAAGTTCTGAAGAGCAACAAAGTCAGCCTGAAAACAAAGGTGCGCCTGATCCAGGACACAGTCTTTGCAATTACTTGCTATGCATCAGAAAGTGGGACAATGACTAGGGATGATAGGAGAATTGATGCCTTTGAGTGTGGTGCTAGAGAAGGGTCTTTATTTTTATTATTTTTTTGTACATGTACCGTCAAATCAGATCTGACAGGTACAGGAGGAGATTGTCCCTCCTTCTCCAGCAGAGCATCTGGTGGATTGGAACAGTGTACCTTTGGGATTGCAGTACAACTTCTTGCCACTAGGCCACCAGAGCTCCCCTAGAGAAGAGTCTTGAATATACCATGGACTGCTAGGAGAACAAATAGGTTTGTCCTAGAGAGGGTGAGACCAGGCTGCTCCTTGTAGGCAAGGATTCTGAAGCTTTGTCTGACATACTTTAGACAAGTTGCAAGGAGGGAAGGGTGGAGGGACAATGCAAGAGAGGAAGACCTTGGATGAGATGGATTGATTCAGTGACTGGGGTAATGGGGATAGGTGTGTCAGAGGCAATAAGGTTGGCTCAGGATAGAGCAGGGTTCAGAGCTGTCGTACAAAGGGTTGTTATGAGTCACAGGCTACTCGATGGCACATAACAACAACAAACAACATATTGACACTTACAATGTGCCTTGATGTCTACAACATGAGGCTATCTTGAGGCTTCTACCAAAGAGCAGACTTTTAAAAAAAAAATAAAAGAGAACTAGTTCTCTGTCCAAACTCACTCAGCCTTTCTAAACAGCACCCTATGTAACAACCTGCCTCAGGCCCAACCAGCCCAATCACAGAAATCTCCCAGAGTCCTCTGGTTTAGCCCCAAGTGGCGTTCCCATGTTGCAATACTTGATCTTACCAGACACAGCTGGGTTATTAACTTGTAGGAGCCTTGGGGGATGAAACCTCAGCATTGTCACTTACCAAGTAAGCTGGCTTACTATAGTTTTTCTTGGACCATTTCCTCATCTGAAAAATGGTGCGAACACTATTGCTGCCTTTCAGGGTTGTTGGGAGGTTCATGTATATCAAACACCAAGTGGAGAACTGATCCTCACAGTGTCCAAAGGACAGACAAAATTAAACGTAGTAACAGGAACAGCCACCCTGTGAAACTCATGGGTTTTTAGAGAAGCTGAAAAGCTGAGAAGCAAGAAAATCTGGTCTTAAACACGGCCAGCATGTTTTCAGAGCCTGGATCTTTCCAGCACCTGCTATCAAGTTCTGCCTTTATGAGATCATGGCCCCTTTAAAACATATTTAGCACTTAGCTACTGAGCATGGGATACACATGGCTGACACTCTACCACATTGGGCAGCTCCAGCCTTACCCAGGGAGCTCTGGAACCCTGCTAGAGAGTTACACTGCCAACCCAAAGGCAGATGGTTCAAGTCCCCTAATTGCACCTAAGAAGAAAGATAGGTAATCTCTTCCCATGTGATTTACAGCCTCTGAAAACCTGCTGGAGGGTCAGCTTTGAGTTGGTTCTGACTTGATGGTAATGACTTTGAGGTTTCTGTCGCTTAGCCAATAGTCATCAAGTTTCTCAAATCTCTCTTTCCTAGTGCCAGGCTCCTGCCCATGGCTATCTGGAGGTCCCAGGATCCAGGTGAATGTTTCAGAACCTCAGGGTCCTCTGAAGACCCCAGAAGTGAACTTCCTTTTCCATTCTGAATCTGCACTGCCAAGCGCAGTGCCCAAAGTCGTCCCATCTATGAACACCTTCACCAGTGAAAATGCAGCCCATTTCCAAGCAGCAGTCTCAACTTCTAGTAAGGTCATTTTTTTAAAAAAATAAATAAATTTTTTTGTGTGTCCCATCAAATCTGATCTAACTGGTACAGGAGGAGATTGTCCCTCCTTCTCCAGCAGAGCATCTGGTGGATTCAAACCAGGTACCTCTGGGATTGCAGTCCAGCTTCTTGCCACTAGGCCACCAGAGCTCCCTTTGCTAGTAAGTTTCATGCAATGCAATCAGCCCTCTACCTTGTCCATCCACTCATCCTGCTTCTACAGGCCATGCCATTTTTGAGGGGCTTCTCATTTCTAAACACTCAAGTCCTCTTTTCTTAACAAATCAGAAGAAAACTTGCTGTTCTACCCTTGTATGCAAAGAGGAAGCAGGGAAAAGTATGGCCTTCTCACACATTCTCCACACAGACACTCTAACCTCCTGCCAATGGGCTGCATTAAAAAGCCAATCAAGGCTGATGGGGTGATGGTGATGTTTGACAAGTCATTATTTATATTTTAAGGATTTCATATTTTAAGCGATTGGATTTGCTGTTGGATCACTAGATTTATGAAGGAATTTCCCACAAATGGCTTGTAGAACATACTGTCATACAGTTCATGTCATCATTTTCTGTTGCAGGAAACCACTGTACCACAGAATGCTAAAACACCCGTGGTACCCAGTATCTCTTGTATATATAGGTTTTTGCAAATATTGTTCTGAAATGCTTAACTTCAGAATTATAACTTTTAAAAAAATCTTCTGAAAATGTCACACAACGTGAGGGCTGGTGCCTCCTCTCCTTATAAAACCCCAAATGGCAGGAGGGAAGGAGAGGAGAAGGAGGGAAGAAGGTGCACAAGGCAGAAAAGAATTATAATTTTTAAAGTAAATAATTGTTTAAATCTATTTTGTAAAGATATAAAAGTACAATAGAATCTCTAGTTGTTGTTATGTGCAGTCGAGTTGCTTGCGACTCATACCGACCTTACGTACAAGAGCCCTAAAACACTGCTCTATCCTGTGCCAACCTGTGCCTGTCTCAGACACACTCATTCCCACCACTCCACTCACAGAATCAATCCATTTCATCAAGTGTCTTCCTCTCCTGCGTCTTCCCTCCACTCTCCCAAACATGATGTCCCTCTCCAAGGACCAGTCCCTCCTTGCAACATGTCCAAAGTATGTCAGACGAAGCTTCAGAATCCTTGACTCCAAGGGGCATTCCGGCTTCATCCTCTCCAGGACAAACCTGTTTGTCTTCCTAGCAGTCCATGGTATATTCAACACTCCTCTCCAGTCCCACAGCTCAAAGGCATCAATTCTCTTTCTATCATCCCTAGTCACTGTCC